ATATAAGTCTACTGCTATTGCTATTGCTATTGCTTTACATTACCATTTACAGCACACCTTTTAAAATTCAGACATTAAACATGTATTCAAGAGAACCAAGAAATGCTGTGCCTCTTAAATGTAATGGGGAGGGGGAGTAAATGGACCGGATACAAGCATCAGTTCCTTGTGAAGTTATCTTTATACTCATTGCTAAGTGAATGAGCCTGTTCCCTCATCAAGCTAGAAAATGACCTTCATTTTCAGTGAAGTGTTACAAGTGCAAGAGCAGTAATTTCCATCTTTTTCAACATTTCCTGCAGGCAACATCTCCACAAACAGCCGTTTCATTGCAATGGGTGGGAGACGACCCAAACTAGGCAACATCATCAGTGCTAGTGAGGAGTGCTGACAACTTCTTAGTCGCACTGATGCTGTTACCTAGTTGGGTAATGAAACGTCTGCAAGAAAACAAGCAAGCTCAGAGATCCCCCCCCCCCCCTCATTTCAAAGCTACAAACATTCCCCTTTATGAATGGATCGGATTTCAGACCAGGCCAATATCGATCAAAACGGCCGCTAGGATTTCGACCCGCTTCCATCAACGCAATGCAAGGGGGGACCTCCTGAGAGCGTCCATCAAATCCTCCCCCACCACCTCCCGAAGCCCTGCAGACCTGCGCACTTTTGGCTGCTGCTGCCGCCGAGCCGCAACCGGAGCAGCCAAACTTTCCTCACTTCGGAGGCTGTGGCTTTCTGGATCTGCTTTCGCCTCACTTCACGCCCTCCCTCCCCTCCACAACCACCCACAGCGGGGTGGTCGGAAGCTGCCGGAGCCCGCTGTGCCCTGGAGGAGAGAGAAAGAGCCTCCGCCGCCTCCTCCTCCTCGAGCGCCGTTTCTCTCCCTGCAACCCGGCGAGCGGGACGCGGGCGAAGGCGCAGCCCTGCGCGCCGCGCGCCCTACCTTGCTTTGCTTTTTGCTCGTGGCCGGCGCGTTTCCTCCTGGCCTCGCTCAACCCAGCTCTGCCGCAGCAGCCGCGGGGAATGTCGAGGCAGAGCGGCGGGGCTCCCTGGTTTTGTTACTACCGGGAGGAGAGAGGAGCCCGGATCAGTGCCGTCGCTATAGAAACTGGCTGTTCCCGCCGCCAGCGATGTCGGGGCGGAGGTTGGGCGGGGGGGGGGGAGAGAGAAAGCGCTTTCAGACGTTCATGGAGGAGTGTTCGGGCTTCTGCTTCCCCCCCACCCTCACCTGAGGCGAGCCTGTCAGGCAGATGGAGGGTGGAAAGGCTGCTGGCCCCTCTCGTTGCAGCCTCCTCACTCACAGCGTTATTATTTTAAGGGACCCAGCCAGGAGACGGCCAGACGCAAGGAGAGAGGAGCTGTTTCGATCTTGACTTCTACGGGGAATAAGCAGCCTCTGTGTAAAAAATAAATAAATGGGTGGGTGGGGAACCTTTTAGAAGAGTGCCAAGGGACGTCATGAAAAGCAGCTACCCATTTCTTTGATTCTGAGTCTAGATGAAAGAACCCTTTGGTGGTTCCTCTTCTGTTCCCCTGTTTTTTTTTTTTATATCAATACAAATTCTCATGTCAGAAGCCAGATTGTGTGAATTCAATCTATTTTACTGAAGTATTCATAAGCCACATTGCAGAGCAAAACCCTGGAAGGTTTTACACTTTACAATCATCATCAACATTGAAAAAAAATTCAACCAGGGGTTAAAATATTTAGTTCGTACCATCCACTTGCAGCCTAACGTTTCTCTTCGTTTATTTATTAAATAAAGAGTAGAGAGTCATTGATTTAAGGAAAAAAAGATATTCTACATCTCTGGGGATGTTCTCTGGGGATGTAAACTGGCCTTGTGATTCATCTGTGGATGATGTCAATGGTGGATAGTGTTTGGCTTGCTTGTTCATTCTACAGGAATTTATTGATCCTTATTACCATAAATTCTAAATTTATTAAGCCCCCTGAAGCACGAATGAAGAAGGAATGAGAATATTTACCAAAGATTCGGCAAGATTGAGGTCATTAAGTTGCAAGCAAAGGAATTCAGAAATGGGGTCAACTGGAAAGTTGGGGGGGAAAAAATCCTGATGGGAAAACTCCAGGCGGCTATGCAGATAAGTGGAGAATGTCTTGTTTGTATTTAAAGATTGTGCTAAAAGTTACAAAACAATTGTGCTACATAGAGCAGCTGGATAAATCCCAAGAACTGCTAGAATGAGCAACACCAGGAAAATCTTTTGAGGCTACTCTGACCTCTGAGATAATCCAGCATATTCTTACATAGAACCACCTCTGCTGTATGAGTCAGTATTTGCAATAAATCGTACCTTTAATAAAAATTGAGTTCTCCCAAATTTAGGTGTTAATCTCATACTGTTCCCAATAACATAATTTCTAGACACAGCTTTAGATAAGCAGAGATAAACAGTATCCCCATAACCTTGTTTGTTTTTGTTTTTAATACAGATTTACTTAATACTCATGTAAATCCATTATTGTTTGTGGAATCAAAGTGTTCATTCAAAGCCATATAAAAATGCAACTGCAATATGTATCTATTTACAACAAATTCATAGAGTCGATCATATCTTATGATTTATGATGAATGTAGTTTTATGATGACTATGATCATGATTTATCACTTATAGCTTTTATGTACACTGAGAGCTTATGCAGAAGACAAATTCCTTGTGTGTTCAATCACACTTGGCCAATAAAGAATTCTATTATATTTGTTGAAGTATTTCTACAGAAATTTTCAGTAATGTTTGACAATAATTACAACAATAATTACAATTGGAATTCCTTAGAGGGGAATTCTAATATATCAGATCTCATCTTACCAGAATTAATGTGACCAGATTTCCACCTTTTTAAAAATAAATAAATCATGAAATCCATCACTGAAAGCAAAATGCAAGTGACTTATCTATAAAAAGTACTATCAAGATTGAAGTTTGAGATGTATTCAAGATAGTCTATGCTTCTATCTGTATATTCCAAACACTTTTGCCACTACAATTTAGGCTAGAGAAGAATAATTCTGTTGCTATTATTATAAAACATTTGGAATCAGAAACTATTTCTGAACTATTAAAAATCAACCATAGCCTGTTTATAGGTGTGTATTTATCTAATGATGATGATGTTACCAATTCAGTCATATCCGACTCTTGGTGATTCTACGGGCCAGGACTCTCCATATCTTCTGCACTACTTATATTTATCTAATAGTAAAAATTAATTCTTATCCAGATAGAGGAACAAAGCTATCTGTTGTTAGAGTAAGAAACAGAGAGAAATTGGGCTCCTAGTGAACATGGCTGTTTAGCTGACTGCATACAATAGCTTGGTAGGAGAAAAAACCCCACCAAATTATGAATTTTCATTTCACAATAAATAGGGCTCACTCTTGGTGTATTGCTGTGAAGTTTCCAGAGTGAGTTCCTATTTAATAGATTCCTAGCTTTTCTACAGTAAGTTACTTACCAGAAGTTACTTATCAGAAGTTTCTGGACTCTTATGTGCCAATTAACTGGATTCAGCCCTGTCAGACAAAAGTCAATACTACTTCTGTTTAAACAATTTGAAAAATGGAATAGGGAAAAGATGAAATGAAGTTATTGAGAGCAAGTAATACACAATACATTTTAATCCAAAGATAGAAGGAAGGAGAGGTGGCCTAGCAACATAATTATTATTATTTTTGCAATATTTGTAGAATGCTACCATTCCTTGAGACTTAGGGCAGTGAACAGCAAGGCAGATATAAAAACAACCAGCTTTTTTAAAAAAAATTAGACAAATACAACTGAAGATGGGTGCCCACAGCCTATTAAGGCTTAAAGTACAATGGAGTAAAACAGGCTGTACCGTGTTGAGAAATGCAGAAGTGAAAGGGCTAAGCATATGTCTGGGAGGGGCATTTTCTAGAATGTCCATGTACTATAGAGAATTCCTGCCATCAGAGCCGCATCCCATGTTTATCTAATGCAGAAGGGACTCTCTGTAGTCCCTTTCTAAATATCCAATTAATTCTGGTAAGATGATACCTGATGTATTCTGGTGCTATTCTAGTGCCGTATGGGGCTTTACAGGTATTCATCAGCGTTCTTGATTTGAACCAAAGCTAAAACCGAACACAGTGACTTTAATGTTGGTAATATCCTACAGTGGCAAGGTTGACCTGCCAACAGCCTAAGTATTATGTTCTGTACTATCTGGAACTTTGAAGTTATTTCTAAAGGCAAACACATGTACAACATATTAATATAGTGGTACAAATAAACTGTGATCAAAGCATGGGCTGCCTTCAGATAAGAGTTTTTGAACTTCTCAGGGATGACTTAAGTCTCATAAGCTACAACAATTCCATTTGATGGGATTTAATCTCAGCTAGATTAAATCCCATCCAATGGAATGAGATTTTGCCACATCTAGTCCCTGACTACCTCCATACGCAACTCAAATGTTCCTTGTGGCTGAATTTTATCACCTTTTGAATAATCTTGATAAAGGAAGGTTGGAGAACAAGCAGAAGTTGTCAAAGACTGATGATTCATGTAAGACATTTTCAAGAGATGTTTCCTCTCAAGAAAGCATTGAGTATATCTCCTGGATCCAGCCATAGTCGGAAGGAACTAGGTGGTGCTTTGTCTAATCTGCGGGTGACAAAATTCACACTGCAGAGAACTATAATCATTTCCTACCAATTTTAATACCTGGATTCCTTGCTTGCCATAGTTGTATCCAACAGGGTGGATATAAGCAACTTTATCTTTTAAGAAAATTGCAAATTCATCTGGGAAGCTTGCAGGAACTTTGTTGCATTTGTTCTTTCTTAAAAGGGTGTAGAACATTTTATATAGGGTTACCAGGCAGAAATCTGTAGGCATAGTCTACTGGGAGAAGAGCTGATTCTTTACCAAACATCGGTTCTTACCAATGTGCAGTTACATCTATTTCTGATACACCAGTGGTGGGTTTCAAAAATTGTTCAAACCTANGTCGCGCTGTGATGACGTCACATACGCGCTTTCGTCGACCGCGGTTTTGTGGTAGAACCGCTTTCCTTATGTGGGCCATACACACTGTGAGATCCATGGCTTCTTTACACTGATATATCACCTCTTGCTGCCAAAATAATATATTTGTAATTTTCAGTAGGGTTTTTTTTTTATATACTAAGCTACTAACTTAGGTTTCTGTCAGTTTCAAAGATAAAAAGGTATCACATTATTATATAAGAATATACACCAGCAAAAGGAAATACAGTAGAAGTAAATGCAAAAAGAAACAGTGAATGAAAAATATTGTTTGACATGGTGTATATGCCAATGTGTATTGTCAAGAGTGTTTTCTTCTGCTTTCCCTCCCACTATTTCAACATTGAGTCTAAACGTTTGGGAATTCACTGTTGTTCTCAATATTTCAGCATTCATTTTTACTATACATTTCATGGAAAGATACTGCAATATTAAATTTATTTTTGTATCTCTAATATTCTTTACAATAAAAATAGTCTAGAGTAGCATACACCTACTTGAACTAAACAGTCATTGAAGCAAAAGGCTGTTCCCACAGAACCATTATTTTCAAACTCTTAAAATCAATGTATGAATGCATGAATGTCATAATCACCACTGTCATCTTAGAAATACACAGAATTCTGGATGATCCAACCAGTGTTATCTCCAGCTGACAAGGTAATTAAAAAAACTGGGGGTGGGTGGGTGGGAAACCTATCACTGCACCTTCACTCATTCACTTTATGCTTTTTTTCCTCAGCAATTATAATAAAAAAAAAGATTGGCAGGAAAGTAAGATGCCATGACATTTCCCACTTGCATTTTTAAAATCGTGTGCAAAATTAGCATGTTGACATTAGATGGCTTAGCCACAGAGAAAAGGAAAGACAGAAGTCAGTGCTTGATATATAGCATGGAGGGAAATTGCCTGCTTCAAAGTTTTGGCACATTATTTGTGATTCTGCATTGGTACCAG